GAAAAAAAAAAAAAAAACAAACAAGAAGAAACAAAAAAAAAAAACTGGCACTGACTCTTTCCCTGGCATTATGCCTTGTCCGTTTATATAAATGTGTCCAGTTCTAGTGAGTGATAGAGGTGGAGGAGTCAGGCGATGAGGAAGAGAGGTAGAGAAGAAGGAGAACAAAGAATTAGCTCATTAAATATGACTATTGTAATAAGAAATTTCATTATGCAGTCAGCCACACCCAGAATTACATCTATAACATTGCTTCCTTTTCCTGCCTAAACAGGTTTACAAAGTTTGTAGTCTTGTGACAAATGTTTCTGTCATCTTCTACTTAAGTGAAACCCACCACCTAATGGGTCCTGTAATTAGAAAACTTACCTATATCTTCTAGGACACCTGTTTTAAGGGTGCAGGCCACTGACTAAGCAATTAACCTCTCCTTGCCACAGTGGACTTTTGCTATTTCCTCCATTGGACAATGCCAGCCCAAGGTACTCACACATTACCAACCTCAGTCATCAGTGTGGAACAATGTGTGAAAACACCTATGAGCTTCTGAGATACTTATCACTATATTGAGTTGATGCCCAGATGAACACAATAGATTCCCATCTATATGTTTCTAAGACACGTATATTAAAATAAAAAAATTCAAACCAGGAGTCACATGTTTCCAAATACAAATCAACAATCTGTATTTGTTAGATATTTGAGCATTGCCGACAGGGTAGCTGCAGTTATAATGACCCAGTTACATAGTTAGTGAAGGAACTTCTTCTGGGACAGGAACTATGAAGGTCGTAGTCCCAGAGGCAGGGGAAGATGGTAGAAACGTACTATCTTGATTCCAGAAAGATCATGTGAGCTAGGAAATCTTTTTTTTTTTTTTTAGAAAAATTGAAGATAAACTAGTATAAAGTTTAACACGATACAAAATAAAGTAGAAATTAATAGATTATCTAATACCATGGAATCTTCTCTTAGCAGACCTGTATCACAATGATTTATTACAGGTGAGACCTTACTGATATGGGTCTCCTGTCACTCCTTTCTTGGGATCTGAAACAGGCCTGCCTTATGCCAAATTCCATTCAACCACAGGTCATTTAATTAAAATGTCAGAGTAGTCCCCCTCCTTTAAAATGTAATAAACAATTTAGAGGACTCTATTAACATGTAAACTATTTTCTGATTTCTTACGTGTCACATTTCTTTCTGTACCTTATAAATAAAAAATACAAAAATTAAAATCCACTGGAAACATTGAAATCCAGACAGTATACAGAAAAATCTTACAAAGATAAATAATCTACTTTCAGTAATGTACTCTTAGAAATGCCGACGGACCCAAATTAACTTCAAGATAATTTATTTTTCAAAAATCAAAAGAATACAGTTGTATCTGAGCAGATTATTTCCTTAACTGAGATCTGGGGCAACATCATCCCTTAGTTGGGTATAAAACATCAACTTTCAGATAAAAATAGTTCTCATAGTTAAGTAAGGATTGCTTGGTTCCAGTTGTTTTGAAGCTCTGCATGCCACCATCATCCCATTTTGAAGACTGGAAAACTGTTTCAGTGAATGGAAATAAATTCCTGGTTAGTCGAGCTAGTTCTACACAAAGCCAAAGAGGAAATAAAAAAAAGAGAGCGCTTCTTGATGACCAAGACTGTCTGATATGACTCAGTCTTCCACTACCTAATGGTACACCTACTCATAATAGGGGTTGCTTCTGGAAGGAGAGAGAGAGAATGGATGACGAGGTGTGAATGGTTTTCACAATTTACTCTTTAAAAAAAAAGATTTTATTTTTAAGTAACCTGTCCACCCAACGTGGGGCTCAAACTCACAACTCCAAGATTAAGAGTTGCGTGCTCTACAGGGGCGCCTGGGTGGCTCGGTCGGTTAAGTGTCCGACTTCAGCTCAGGTCATGATCTCACGGCTTGTGGGTTCGAGCCCCACGTTGGGCTCTGTGCTGACAGCTCAGAGCCTGGAGTGCGCTTCAGATTCTGTGTGTGTGTCTCTCTCTCTGCCCCTCCCCTGCTCATGCTCTGTCTGTCTCTCTGTCTCTATCTCTCTCTCAAATAAATAAACATTAAAAAATTAAAAAAAAAGAGTTGCGTGCTCTACAGATTGAGCTAGCCAGGCACCTCCACTATTTATTCTTCATACTTTTGTATTTTACTGTTCCATGAGGAATCTATCCATGTCTTCCTTGACTTCCTAGTTCTTCAGAGCAGGAAAGGTCACTATTAGCTCATGAATGAATGATTTTTCACTTCATGGCTAATAGGCAAAGTCAGGTGAAGAAAAGAAAAACAAAACAAAACAAAACAGAAATTCAAGATTTCCCATTAACTCCTGATAACATTTGAGTATTATGCAGCTTTATACAACTGCAGTAGGGCTTATGTGATTCAAGCCCAAGTTCAAACTATCCATGTATTCTGGGGGCTGGGACACCTGCAGGTGCCTTTCATCTCTTACTTGAGTAAGTGCTATTGTTGAACTTTTTCTGATACTGTTCTCTGAGAAGCAATTGCTCCTGGAAGGGCCATTCCAACTGTAATCTCTTCTCTATGTCGGAAGGGATGGATCCAGATTCACACATATCTGCAAAGGGAAGAAATAGTTTCGAGAATCTGTTTTCACAGTGATAAGGTTGAAGTCCCACACATTTATTTAGTTACCTATTTATGTGACTAAAGCAGGATAATTATGTTCCTGGTTTTTAGGTGGGAGATCAGAAAAAGACATATTCTGTTGCATGTCAAATTTGCAGCTAACCAATCACCACACACACACACACACACAAACAACCAAGGGCAGGTTTCCTAAGAAACACTGCACATACATTGGACACAGATATACTGGACATAACTTCAAGTTATTTAACAATTCAGAAAATTCCTCAGAAACTTGAAATTACTAGAGAATCCCACTGAAGAAAACAGTTCAGGGCGCCTGGTGGCTCAGTTGGGTAAGCATCCGACTTTTGATTTTGGCTAAGGTCATGATCTCACAGTTTGTGGGTTCAAGCCCCATGTTGGACTCTGCACTTCACAGCGAGGAGCCTGCTTGGGATTCTCTCTCTCCCTCTCTCTCTGCCCCTCCCCCGCTTGCGCTCTCCCTCTGTCTCAAAATAAATAAACATTAAAAAAAAAGATAACAATTCAATTCTCTTACAGTTCGCTTTCAAAATACATAAAAATTTGTTTCGCTGGACTATAGCTGCTTTGTGATGATTTCTTCTTGCCGTAATAGTAGGACAGGAAATGGTGACTTTTTCTTTTCCTTCAAATATGTTATCCTCAAAGCTTCTGAGACCACAGCACGTGTGCTTGGAAAACTCAGTCACTAAACTGTCGGTTGACTGTGCTTCTTTATCACAAGGCAGCACAGCCGCTGCACGCCTGCTGCCAGGACTGGCGACCCGCCCATAACTTCCTTTCTGGGAAGCTGCACATTCTGACTTTTTGGCAGCTGGTGCCTCATCCATCCCCGGGCTCACAAAGGATGCTTCAGAGGCACTGGCACCTCCCCTCTTCCACCACATATACACACAGGATGGAGAAAATTGATGGGGAAAGGCCAGTTTCCTGTCTGAACTTAAGAGACCTTGCAGATACACATGACAGATGGGAATGGTCAAGTCCCAACATCAACTATTCCCATATGTTATGTTAAGAGAACTCTCCTGCTTTTTTTTTTTTTTCATTTTTTTCTAATTAGTCTTCTATTAGTTTTGGCCCAATTACTGATGAACTGTTCTGGAAACTTCCTAACTGAAGAAAACAGAGGGAAAATATGTAATGTATGAAATAATGACATATTATTCACTAACATATACATTATACTGACATTATTGTAATTCAATGATGTACACCTTATTTCTCATAATTGGTAAGATAATGACTCAACTTCCATTTGATGTCTGCATAGCACTTATGAAAGACATAGAGCAAATCCTCATCGCTCACTAAGGCAGGTTTCTCAGGGGGAACCAACAGACTTCAAATATCAGAATCACCCGAGAAGCTTCTAAACTCATAACCTAAGGTTGGAACACAGAATCCAAATATTCAAACTCACCCCAGGTGACTGTGGATTGTCAATAACGTTTGACAATCACTGCCCAATCAGTGAAGCCTTAAAATCCATTCTAAGAAGCAGAGTGTACCTCAACAGCCTCTTGTTATACCCTTCATCCACATTCTATTTTCAAAATAAATGGGTTTCAGTCGATCACTTATGTCTTCAGCTGGAAGTACTCTTTTCAAATTGACACATTTCTACCCACACACTCCTGCTAAGCAGCTGTGTCCTTCAGCTACAACCATTGTCCTATTTACAGCACAATTAACTCTCAGTTATGCCCAGCACACATTTTTTTGGTGAGGTTTCACATTCATGAAGACACCAGGAGGAGGAAACCTGCCCACTGCCTCCTCCTTTTGTGTGGGTGCCTTCATTGGCCAGTTGGGAGCCCTTGATTTCTTATTAATTTTCAGATATCAGCAATAACACTTCTCTGAGAACGCTCAAGCCTGACTCAAGTGAATCAAAACATATTGTGAATCTTTAAAAAGTTCACCCTGGTTGACTTGAGACTGCCAGTAACTTCTCTCTTCAAAGGTTGGTTCTTTCTTGGGATCAAAAATGAGAAAGTCTGTCTTGGTGCCACCAAATCTCAGGTATGCAGGAGACAAACCTCTGGCCAAAGTACGAAGCTTTGTAGAACTGTTGGAAGACAAGCAAGAAATTAAAGTTATTTTTTTCCAAGACAATCCAGTGAAACATGTTTACTCTCTTCTCTCTAGATGGACCTATTTATTAATATCTAGCTATACAGGAGGGAGGGAGGGAGAAGTCCAATGGCTATCACCGGGAAATCTTTTCAGTCTGAATCTTTTTTTTTTTTTTTAAGTTTATTTATTTAGAGAGAGAGAATGGGGAAGGGGCAGAGAGAGAAAGAGAGAGAGAGAATCCCAAGCAGGCTCTGTACCATTAATGCAGAGCCCAACACAGGACCAGAACCCATGAACCGTGAGATTATGACCTGAGCTGATATCGAGAGTTGGATGCTCAACCGACTAAGCCATCCAGGCACCCTTTAGTCTGAATATAATTGCACGGTCGCACTTCTCGGCACCTGCAGGCAACTGGGACCTCTGACTCTGGCAAGAACTTATATTTTAACTTACAAGTAGGCTAGCATTCAGTACTTTCAAAAAACTTGTAACCTTTTATGATTGATGGAGGAAAAGAGGTTAAGAGACTAGAACCTATGGGAAAGATGACTCTGTGTTTTTTGAAAAATAGACTGTCTTCAAAAATTTATGTTCCAGAGAAGTTCATAAATGACTTAGGATTCTTCCTCTTCTCCCTAGCTCCAGCTTTCAAGGAAAACCATACTTCTAAATTTAAGTCAAATGAATTAGATAGATAAGATTCTAATTCCTATCGGGGCGCCTGGGTGGTGCAGTCGGTTGGGCGTCCGACTTCAGCCAGGTCACGATCTCGCAGTCCGTGAGTTCGAGCCCCGCGTTGGGCTCTGGGCTGATGGCTCAGAGCCTGGAGCCTGTTTCCGATTCTGTGTCTCCCTCTCTCTCTGCCCCTCCCCCGTTCATGCTCTGTCTCTCTCTGTCCCAAAAATAAATAAAAAAACGTTGAAAAAAAAATTTAAGATTCTAATTCCTATCATCAACAACTCCAATTTGAGCAATTCTTTTTTTTTTTTTATTTATTATGTATTTATTTATTTATTGAGAGACAGACAGAGTGTGAGCAGGGGAGGGGCAGAGATAGAGGGAGACACATAATCCAAAGCAGGCTCCAGGCTCCAAGCTGTCAGCACAAAGCCTGACTCGGGGCTTGAACCCACCAACCGTGAGATCATGACCTGAGCCGAAGTCAGATACTCAACTGACTGAGCCACCCTGGCACCCCTTCAATTCAAGCAATTATAAATGCATATCTCATCAAGTCAAAAATGCTCCTGATAGGTGCCTAGTATGTGCTCAGATGGTACCAAATGCTATAGAGTGGAAGTAGAATGATTTATAATCCTTTCTCTCAGAAAGGTGAACATGTCATGAATATTTAAACAAAATTAAGAAAATAGGAGAGCCAGATAACAGGGATGGTTGCCATACATTTCTGAAGTCTCATACATGTGATTATGGCCACACTGTGCTCTGAATTCTCTTAAAACACATAAAACCAATGCTGTGTAGTTCTTTGGAATGGTCCAATTAATTAACTTACATGTAGGTTCTTTCAAATTGGAAAATCATTCTAGGAGGACTAATTGACAATACCTCTTAACATCCTAATAAATAGAGACCTTACCTAAAATTTAAAATTTTTTAAATCTAAAATTTTAGGATATTGCTTAACTATATACACTGCTATGTAAAATGTTTCAAAGATGTCTTCAGGGATGTCTGGGTGGCTCAGTCAGTTAAGCACCCGACTCTTGGTTTTGGCTCTGGTCATGATCTCACGGTTCATGAGTTTGAGCCCCATATTGGCCTCTGTGCTAAGAGCACAGAGCCTGCTTGGGATTCTCTCTCTCCCTCTCTCTCTGCCTCTCCCCTGCTCGCTGTCTCTCCTTCTCAAAATAAATAATTTTTTTAAAGATATCTTTATTTATGCTTAGGAAAGAGAAATTCAAAGATGGAAATAGACCAAAGGATAAGTCTCCTGCATTAAAAACTTCAGTGATTCCTCCTCACCATTTTTACTGTACTACAGGCACTTTTGCCTTCATGGTCCAATTCCTCCATTAAAAAATACTGAAAATTATATTTTATGATGATATTTCTATAAAGACAAACACTATTGTATTAAAATATTTTCTTTGACCTAAAAGTTCATTTTCTTTGGATCTTAAAAGAACTTAGAGGAGCTCCTAGGTGGCTCAGTTGGGTAAGCATCAGACTTTACTTAGGTCATGATCTCGAGTTTGTGAGTTTGAGCCCCACATTGGGGCTGTCAGCACAGAGCCTGCTTGGTATTCTCCCTCTCTTCATCTCTGCCCCTCCCCTGCTCGAGCTTTCTCTCTCAAAAATAAACAAATAAATCTTAAAAAAAACAAATTAGAATATTTTCATGGGTGCCTAAATATGTCGTAGATCCTAGAATGAGGAAATGCAGCACAAAGTGAGGCTTCCAAAATGTTATCGGCCTGGGATTTGGCACTGACGGAGACATCTGTTGGCACCAAAGAACACCAGGAAGGATGGCCTCTGCCACGAAATCCTCAAACCACTTGAAAATAAACGGAAATGCTAACTTGGACTACGTCAGGATCAGAAGAAACCCACTTCCACTTTGCTACAAACCTCAATAAAAAAAGCTGTAGGGAGGGGAAGAGAGCACTGTTATTTGACGGGCACAGAGTTTTAGTTTGGGAAGATAAAGTTTGAAGATGGGTGATGGTAATGGTTGCACAACAGTGGATATACTTTAAAAAAAAAACTTTTTTAATGTTTATTTTTGAGAAAGAGAGAGACAGAGTGCGAGCAGGGGAGGGGCAGAGAGAGAGGGAGACACAGAATCCCAAGCAGGCTCCAGGCTCTGAGCTGTCACCACAGAGCGCGACGCGGGGCTTAAACTCAAGAACCACGAGATCATGACCTGAGCTGAAATCAGACACTTAACCAACTGAGCCACCCAGGTGCCCTAACAGCGGATGTACTTAATGGCACTGAGTTACACACTTAAAATGGTTAAATGGTAAGTTTTATGTTTGGTATATTTTACCACAATTAAAAAAAAAAACTGCATTGTGTGATTTCAGCAATGAGAATAATATATATAGAAGGAGATAATGGGTCATTACTATGTACTGAGATGAATGGTAGACTCTTTTCTGATTTTATGAGTTTTCCATAATAAGCAAATGACATTTTAATTTATACAAGGTAGTTTTGTGTATATGTTTCTATTGTTTTAAGACGAGGTGAAGAAACCAAAATTTAGTGAAGGGACACATAGCTATCCATTCATTAATCAATAAATATACATGGCAGGCCCACTCTGCCAGGCATTATGCTAGTTTCTGGGGATACAATAGCAAATAAAACAGAGATAGCTCTGATATAATTTACAATCTTGCATATACATATACATATATACACACATACATATACATATATATACATACATACATATATACATATGTATACATATATACATATACATACATACGTATATACATATATATATACATATACATATATATACATATGTATATGTATATATATATGTATATATACATATGTATATATACATATGTATATATGTATATATATACATATATATACATACATGTATACATATACATGTATGTATATGTATATATATACATGTATATGTATATATATACATGTATATATATATATACATATATATGTATATATATACATATATATATGTATACATATATATGTATAC